AGAGGTGAGAGGCAGAGGACCCCACGGAACCCTGGCCCTGCCCTGCTCCCTCAGCTCTGTGGGAGGGGAAGCAGATGGCAAGCTAGCCACCAGCCTGCCCCAGACAGAGTGTGCAGGTTGGTTTCCATCAAGGTTGACCTTGGAATTTTAAACTGAAGAGGCTGGAAGGAAAGGTCCCTAGAGGGAACCCAGGGAGGACAGACAGCAAGGCAGATCCTAAGTGGAAATGGTTTCTGCTCAAACCTCCTGAGTTAAGACTTCCCTGATGTCCACCTAGTACATCTGAAGATGAACTCCTCAGAACAGTCTGGAGAAGGGCCTCTTCTTTTCATCGGAAGTGCTCTGCTTCCAGAAGTGGCCAAGTAGCCCTGCAAGTCCCAGCTGTCATACACGCACATGACGGCTATCAGCTACCTGGTGGAGGTGCTGCAGGGTGACGGAGAGCAGCAGACTCACCTGAGGGAGGCAGGCGCCTGGAAGAGGCTGCAGAGGGATGGACTGGTGCAAAGAGGGACGGGAGCTGTTGGAGATCCACAGGGCCTGTGGGTGTTCACTGGGCCCCTTCGACTTTTCTGTACATTTGAACATTTTGCATTGTAGTCACGCCTGCCAGAGACAGCAGGCCCAAGTCTTTCTCACTTCTCGCACGCATCTTTCCAAAGGGATGACACTGGTAACGAGCTACCTGGCTCTCCTCATTGACCTACAAACATTTTCATGCCTCTTTAGGGAAGAAGGCCACACACAGGGAGAGGGCGGTGGGGAGAGGTCCAAAAGGGAGTATAGCTGAACTCATAGCACCTCTCGGAYGACCCAAAGATGCATTTCCTTTAAAGATCAGAACATCTTCCATGAAACTTGGCATGCTATACATAAAAAGCATTTCTTTCCAGTATTTAGAAAATTGAAAACACCCCCAAAAACTGAGCCTTATCTTCTTTCGTTTGCTGGGTCAAGGCAGGCCTCTCTGGAGGAGAGCCGAGAACAGCCTGGGACAGGCAGGGAGGCCTTCTACAGCTGCCCAAATGGTGAAGCCCTGAAAGGGACAGAGGCAGAGTGAGACTCCTCCAGGCTGGACTTTAAGAGAGTGAGACAGTGAATGCAGGCACCAGGTGGTGCCCCAAGAAAGCTCAACTCCGAGCTACCACCTGCAGGGAGAGTCAACAGAGGCCACAGCTTCTCACACTGGGGATCAGTGGTACAGCTAACAGCCAGCCAGCACCTGAGGCCCTGGAGGGAATCACCCAGGTCAGCTGACGATTCCCTTAGCAGCCCCAGTGTGCCAGGCCATGGGTGGGGTGCCACTTTAAAGCACTGGACAGCAAGTGGTCAGTTCAGCCTGGCAGAGGTCTGTGACCCTCTTTTCAGCATGCCCAGGGGCTCCTTAGAATGCAGAGGGGCTTGGAGGTTGGGGACATATCTCCGTGGCAGAGCACTTGCCTAGCATGCAAGGCCCTGGGTTCAATCTCAATCCTGGAGTGGGGGGACACTGAAATCCAGATGGACTGGGTTTTGGGGAGGGGGCTCACGGGCTCGAAACTGTGCTTTAGATCAGTGCAAGTTAATGAGCATCATGAGCTGTCTCCCACGGGATGGAGAGGTGGCAACTCTCCCTACTCATCCTAAGGGCAAAGCCGACATTCCTGGAAAAGACAGGTTAAAAAGAGAAAAGCACAAAAAGGCCATTTGATGGATGTTCTGGAGGCCTCAGCACTGAAGACCGGATGGTCCAGGGAAGCGTGTTTATGTTTGTGCTGAGGCGTGATACAGCACGGACAGCGTGTGGACTGTGATGGGACCACATGGGTACCTGGGGAGAATGAGGGCACCCAGCAGGCTCTGTTACCGACCAGTCTTTCCCCTCCCAGGTGTGGGGCAAGGACCCACTCTGAATGAGGACACATTCTAATGCCAGCTCTCGCACAGAAAGGTAGGGGAATATTCCCGGGTTTATGAGCGGGTTGGGGGCAAGGGGTTCTAGTTGTTTCTTAGAGGAGAAGGGAGAGCAGGGGAAAGACAGCAGGAGAGGGTCGGAGAGGGTCTGTGAGCCCCTCCCCAAAACCCAGTCCATCTGGATTTCAGTGTCCCCTGGCTGAGGATTGAACCCAGGGCCTTGCACACTAGGCAAGTGCTCTGCCACTGAGATATGTCCCCAGTCCCCAGCCCCTCTGCATTCTAAGAGCCCCTGGGCATGTTGAAAGGGAGTCGCAGATTCTGCAAGGCTGAACTGACTGCTTGCTGTCCAGTGCTTCTGAGCCCCTCCCCTCGAGTTTGAGGTGTTCAGCACATCACAAATCCACACCTGACTATCACCCTTCCTGAGCTCCACTGCTCTAAAAAACCACTCAATCTAGAACAATTGTAATCATATTCATAAGAATCCCATTTTAAAATTCCTTATGTATTTTACAGTGTTATGACAATTAATTCCTTAAATATTATATTGCGGAGTATAGGAATATTTAAATTAGGTTTTATGAAACAGGGGTCTCTATGAATATTTTTATGAATCAGCAAAGTCACAAAAATCACTGATTCATAAAAATATTCACCCTAGATATGGTGTCTTTTAGGATCTGGGACTGTTCAGTGAATGAAAGAGAACCCTCCACAGCACTTAACTACACAGAATAAACCAGTTTCTCTTCTGAAGGCAGAGCAGAGCTAAGTAAAGCGCCTGGTCCGTGACTGCAGTCATTCCTTCTCTCTCTCTCTGATTCCCSGACAAACCTCCTTACTTGACCAGCAGGCAGACAGGACAAATCCATGATCATCCAAAAAGCTTTAGTCTCCCTCTCGTGGACGATGGTAAAACAGCAACAGCCCCAAACCATCTGCTGTTGTCTGTGCCAAGGAGGGTTATGGTGGGATTCATCCCACCACAGGCCACTTTAACTTCACACTCCTCGACATCTTTGGGTGATAAGGATACCCAGGTCTCGCCACTTGAGAGGTGCTCCTCCCATGGACCTAGCAGCGGGAAGCTAGTCAGGTCACCGCTCGGTATGGGGATAGGATCGAATGGAAGCCCAGCTAAGCACTTCTTGGAAATCACCAATGAGAAAATAAAGACAAACTCAGAAACCAAACAGGATATAGAGCTAGACAAAACCACACCCAAAAAGCCCAGATAATATTTTTCTGCTGTTTAATTGATCTCAAGGAAGGAAAAAAATATGAGTTCACAAAAACTTACATGAATTTGGTTCTGTACAAAACCAAACATACAATCATTATGATACCAATGAAACATGATGAATATTTCCAGGCCATTTAAAATAGTGTCCTGAACGTGTACATAAATAAGTAATAAATACTGCCTCTGTTACCTTCAAATTCTGGACCACCAAGAGCTTCATACTTTTATGTAACTACTTGAGTAAATGAGCAAAGAAGGAGAGTGGAAACAGACAGCATTTCTACACGTAATGCGGCGATTCTGGTCTCTCTGGGATGTGGCCTAGATGGCTGAAGAACCGCCATGCACCTCCTCCTTGTAGCTAGCAGCTATCTTCAGACCAATGACAGCATCTCCCCAACATTTGTCAGGCCACCAATTCTACTCGCTTCAAGTTGCTGACAAACCTTCAGCCCCTTTAGGCATTCAAAGATTTGGAAAATAGTCCAACTCTAAACAATCTGATGGGGTTTTGTGGCCCATTTTTTGTACTTTTCTACAACTTTTTCCACTGAGTGGAAGCTGGAAATATTTTTTCACACACTCTTTTGGATTGTTTTGACCTCAGATCATTTTAGTTGGTCTAAACGCAAGGTGTATGTAAACAACTCCTCGGAAATGAGAGGCACTTCTTGAAAACGCAAGGACTTCTGTCACCAGATTCAGGATTCGATGAACCGAGTGAGTTCACAGTTGAGCTTTCCAACACCATCGGCATGGAAGTGCCAAGATTCTTTTCTGCAGCAGTCAGTGCATTGAGATGGGTTGGATATGTGTATCAGAGATCATCAAACTAAAATTGTGCTTATGTGAGTACTGTAATAGACCTGACTTTAAGAAAAAATCTTAATACTCTTCATTAGGAGCTCTGATCTGATCCAATAATACTGGTTAAAATAACCAACTTGAGGCAAAAAAAAAAAAAAAAGTAAACAAGGAAAGACAGTTTTTTGGCTTTCAAAACTGTCTGAATATATGACTATTCTCCAGAGGAAGCAACTATCTCCCAGTTAAAAGAGCTGGGAAAGAATGCAGGAGGCATTGCTTCATCCTCAATCAACACAATCCTCAGCTCAGACACAGGGGAGGCAGGAAAGGAAACAGCTTCACCTCACCCACTCTAGGTCTCTGAGAATACCCAGGAGAGCACACCTCAGGAAAGGCAGGGGCTTAGCACGAACGCTCAGTGCGTAAAAGAAATACACATGTGTGTGATATTATATTACATATATTAATTGGTCCTGAAACTTTATATAAAGAGCTGAATAAAAATCTTGCAGAGAAAGAATGACAAGGGGTGCCAACCACATGTAGTGGACTGATCTGGGCTCACGGGGAGCAGGGCAGGCCAGGGCATAAGGGACACCACTCAGGAACCACAGAAAGGAGAATAAGGGCTGCTTTTCCAACGCAATGCATCTACTGAGGACAAAGGTTAAGCGCATATTTGAGGACTACAGGAGCAATGCCTACTACGCGTACATCTTTTGGTTGCATAAACAGGCAGAAGACCGTAGCATACAGCATGCTTTTTCCAGTGGGGTGGTGCACGAGGTGAAGAATCTGCAAAAACTTGCATGTAAAGTCAGGAAAAAAAGGCTATTATAAAATTCTCCTCTGTTGTTTCGTATGATTAAAGTCACGTTTTTAAAAGATATCTTATTATTTAACCTCTGCACATGGTGTCTTGTCTTTGTGCTATTTGCAATAAGAGTTCATAAACCACTATATGTCCAAATATGACATGCCAAGTTTTTCATTTGCCCCAAAGGTGAAAAGACAGAAACACAGATGTAAAAACAAAACAACAACAACAACAACAAAAAACCAAACACAGTAATTGTTTGAAGGGATAAAATCAACCACTGTCCAGTCATTAAAACACACTATCAAGAATCTGTCAACCAAAGGTCTTGAAGATACAAACATCAACAGAAAGCTCCCAGCACAACCATAGGAACAAGATGTCACTTAACTCCAGAGAAGGAAGATACTTGTAGAAGAGCCAGGAAACCAAGTCTAGATCTGGATGGTGAGAACACATCCAGTGACTTCGTCTACACTCTCCCTCCAGCACTTCCTGGGGCCTCCCCACCCCCCCCCCCACGCCCAGGCTAGATTGTAGAACCTTGCTCTTACAAACTGAAACAGATCATTATTTTTGACTAAGGACAACAGAATCTAGGTCCCAAGTCAGTAATTTAGTAACTGCTACGCAGCATGTCCCATGAATTTTCAGCTATTGCAGGCCCTTCGTTCCCAACTTCTAAGAGGGGCTGTTCCTGGGGACTCCCTTCAGGGAAGCCTCCCACAGCAGAAACCCTTGGGTGCCACACCAAACAATAAAAATCAAGCTTCAGCCCCCTGGCTTTCCAACTGGAAAATCTGCAAATTATTATTTTTTTAATCTGTTTAGAAAATTCAGAAATGGGACTTCACTATGGCCTCTAAATTCAATGATTCCTTTAAAAAAAAATAATCCCATGTCAGAGAGAAGTACTGAAGTTCCAGATGCCTTTGTCTCTAGTGAGTGAGCAATTTAGTGACAAATGACTGCTCAAAATAGAAACCTGTGTACTCCCTGACCCAGAAGGAATGAGGCTTCTCTGGGAATAAAATGAATACAAATTCTGCTTTAAGAGCTTACGCAAAAGCAGGAGAGCGTCTTGTTCCAAATGCTAGGACTTCACATCATTTCAGACAGTCTGCCCTGTTTTACACGCTTACATGCAAGAGGAAATGGGGCACCAACCTATCAGTCCCACCCAGAAGTTTCCTTGACTCTTCCCAAGTACTGCCATGTGATCCCTTTATATGGCACATACTTTGGTTAATTTTTACCTAAAGGGTTCTCAATGCCCAAAACTGTCAATGCAAAGAAAGTCTCACTGCAAGACACAGACTACCGAAAATAATACTACTGGGGGTGGGGTGGACTAAAGAGCCAATCAACCACTTGGCTGTCAGTCATAAAATGCTGTCCGTCAGTCATAAAGTGTAATTTTGGAAGAGCTCCAGTATTGAGGTCTATAGTCTTTGCAGATCATCATTATTTTAATTTGTATGTCTTTTGTTTTACTCCATTTGCTTTGAGTTTCTTCTCACTGGGCACAGTGGCATGGCCACAGTTATTTGTATTTCCCTTTTTCTTCAGGTGTGCATGTGCTGGTGTTCTGGAGCTCTTGCAGGGGTCTGCGGAGTCCATAATCATGGCTGTCTGTCTGGGAATCCGGATGTTACCACTGGTTTCCATCTTGGGGCTGATGTCACTGTAAGGCAAATCCCAGCCCTGCAGCTTGCTACTCTTATTTGATCTCTTTTTCTTTTCCTCCGTCCTTGTCTCAGGGGTTTGCTTCTGGGAACACAACCTAGTGCTACTCGGCACATCCGGGGACCTGGGGCAAGTCTCAAAGGTGTAATAGGAAGGGTGAACTTCTCCATGGTGCCGACCTTTCTTTTGTGAAGGGCCTGACTTTGAAGCCCCTTCCAGGTACGGTAGTGGCCTGGACAGGGCAGTAGCAATTAGCTTACTTCTCCCAGGGCTCTTCAGCGCCCCCAAGGTCCCAGGGGCAGCAGGAGGCCTTGCCTTGGCCGCCTTCGCCTTTTCACACTGCACAGTCTGGTCCTGCAGCCACTCGAGCTGGACGAGTCTGTCGATGTACTTCCCGAGGAGTCCCCCGGCCCGGGGCACCTCCGTGGTTCTGCACTCTGCATTCAGAAGCAGGGCCATATCCCGCAGGTCCCAGGAGTTGAAAGGGGACGGAAGGAAGTCAGGATAGTGGTACTCCGGCTTGGTGTGGCCCTGACCTGGGGGAAGGTCAAAGTCAATGGGATCGATTTCTTCAGCTCGAAGCTTGAGATCTGGAGGGGAGAGCGGAGAAGGAGGAATGGGAATTCTTTCTGAATCTGACAGGTCACTCGCACTGTCCTCCTCCACGTCTTCCTTCATAATTTTCATGGACTGGAAGTGAAGAAACAGTGTACTCTCCGATGCCTCTCTGTACCTAGAGCCCAGGGTGCTGGCCTGGGGCTCGCCTCCAGCGGAGGCCCCCAGGAGGCTGCTTCTCAGCTGGGAGGAAACATGGGGTCCTTGGGATTTACTCTGCCGTTTTCCTGAAGACTTCCTTGATTGTTGGGCTTTGCTCCACGATGGGCCAGCATTTGTACTGCTGTGAAAAACAAAACTGCAATTCTTACCACGCAGAGCCAAAAAAGTCTAATTGAGCTATGATTAGAGAAACCAAAAGAATCCTCTGGCTATACTTTTCAGCTATTACTAGGCCTCAGAAAACCTAGAGCCTCCGGATCCTTGCAGAAACAGTAGCTTTACAGAAAATTCTCTGCACAGTGATCTGCTCAGGAAACATTAGGGACTGCCTGTGCCCCAAGTACCGTGTGGATTCTGCTCGACACCAAATGCTAGCATTTAAGAAAAACAGTCACAATTCTCAAAGTGCTTGTTTCATAATTTTAGATCAACTGTGTGTGCTTTAAACAACACTGGTCTGGAGAATACCTGCTATAGGACTCTCCATCTAGTCTGTTAATAGTCAATAGAGTTTAAAAATGTTCAGAAATAAAACCCACAGCTTTCTTTTGTAGACATATTTTAGGTTAAAGGTAAATATAATGTAAACTGCACATTTTACACTGTTTAATCACTGGTAGTGATTCTGAGCCAATTCAACTCTGAATATGTTAAAGTACAGCATATAAAAACTATACTTTAAACTAAAAGCTCATTTGTATCTTTCCATATAGGAAACATGCTCAGGAAAGATGCATTTAAAAGAATAGAAATAAAATTATATGGTGCCATTATAATTCAATATGAATAAAAAATAGAGTTAGTGCTGTCTTGTGAATGGCAAGCAGAGGCAAATAAAGAATACTGTGTGTGTTACTAATGTAGCACTGGATTCTTCCTGGGGTAATATGCTCCAAGGCAGAATCTCACATCAGAGTTGAAAATACCTGTACTTCAATTTATTCATCAAGAATAGAGCATTTAACCAAAGTAAGTACTTTTCTGTAACAGAAGATAGAAAACAGAAATGGGAGATAATTATACTTCCTGGAAAACTCAAGAGGTTCATTTGCCAGGGATTTCAACCACACCAAGAATGTGTTACCCTTCATTAATAAATATGGAGTATGTTACATCACGGCCATCAGCTCAACATGCTCAACAAATATGAGTGATGGAGAAAGCAATGAAAGATTGCCACCATTCAGAATCCACAACCAGTACAGTGAAAACCTTGGTTTACAACCAGCTGTCACCTGCACCCCCAGAAGACAGCTATTGATAGTGCCCTTTAATATAAAGGAAACCAACGGAGCAAAGTGACGGAGGGACTTGCTGACACTGCCAGAACCTCCCCTGTGCAAGCTGACAAGTAACGCCACTTTGTCCACTCGTTTGTGCTAGGTGAAAAATATGAATGTGTATTTCTTGTTCAGACCTATTTCTTCCAATGACACATATTCAATCTGGAGAACTGAGGCAACATGCCTTTTGCAAGATAAAGCAATTATATGAAAACTATTTACCTGCTTTTCTGATCACATTCATTCACCCTATTCCTTTTCTTGAGAAATTCACATGGCCGACCATCATCTAGGGTTTGATGGACTGTCTAAAAAAGAGATATTCAGTAATGAATACTGTGAACACAGATATGTGCACACATACATGAAACACACAAAAAGGGGAAAAAAAAACAAAAAACAAAAACAGGACTGTCCCTTAAAGTTTACATCACCTTTTCTGCACTGCTCAAACTATTCTTGCTCAATCTGTTGGAGGATGATGACAGCTGGGGAGGTGACTTCTTTATTCCTCTTATGTTTGGAAAGAATTCACCACCACCGGAACTAGAAGCAACAGCAAACTAACAGTAAGTATTGATTGCAAATGGTCCTATCGCCAGTATTCCGTCATTTTTTCTCGTTTATTCTTTAGTATTTGCAAAGCACTGAAACATCGAGGCTGTAACATATATTCTGAATTGTGACAGATTAGAGGGGTACACAGTCATATGTTTCCAGTTTAGTCTTTTCAGTCCCCCCCACACAGTGGACAGTAGATACAAGACCACACTAGTATCAAGGCCATGACTGGATTCTTTCTCTACTTCTGTGTATGCACATGCATGAACAAGCGCGCAAGTGCGCGCGCACACACACACAACCTCCTTGAAAATAATGCATTGTTGAGGAAATCTGTGATGCTAACTAAAGTCAAGTCTACTCCAAAGCTCCCACATATACTCGTTCGCTCATTCAGAAATGGCCCACAACTCCTCTTCCCATGGAGCCTAAACTCTAGTGAGGCAACTCCCTTTGAATTCTTCTGCCTTCCCTACTACAATGTCTTCCCTTCTGAAACTTCAGTCACTCAAACCAGGCCGTGGTTATTCCTCTTCTTTTGAGAGGCCAATGAGGTGCGCTCATTAGAAACTGAATACTTCTCTCCCATAACACCCCCGTCTCTGTGAAATGGAAAAGAGGGGAATGACAGATGTTAAGAACATTTCAGAAGGAAATGTTCCTGTACTTTTTAAAGTACTTCTTTATCATGACCACGTGGGCCTTTTTAGTTGGTTCATATATGATGGTAACAGGAATCACGTGTGGGCTCTGGCAGTTAACTGACCACACCACACTCAGCTGGCTTGAACTCTGAGGTGTAGACAATGTTCTCTGCTTGACCCAAACTGCTCCCCACAAAGTGCTCTTGCACCCCCTCCCTTTCACTCCACAGGACAAGCCTCACACCCAGAGCTGCCTATTTCCTGCCAGAAGTGCCCGGGAGAAAGGAACGCCTGCAGGGTCCTCAGCAAGCAAAAACAAACTCCCATCTTCCCGTGGTTCCGGCTTGCATAGAAAGGAAGCCAAAAGTCAGAGATGCAGGCTACAAAAATGCTCCCCAGGCATGGGACAGCTGCACAATTCATCACAGGGCATCAACCCCCATCCCGGGTCTTCCTCTGGCGGTGATCCCAGGCAGGCGCGGTCCCCACCCCCACCCCAGGGAACCCGCTGGCCATTGGGCGGCAAAGGATTGTGGGGACGTGTGAGCATGACGCTTCTCTACGCAGCGAGGCTCCCTCGGTCTGGCCGCGGGGACAGGCTGCAGGCACACGTCCAAAGAGCTGGCTGGCTGGACACGAAATCAGCCCCGGACCGGCTCCTGGCCAGGCTGGGTTCTGCCCTCCCTCGCCCCTCCCCCACGAACCCCGAAATCCGAGGACCTGCAGCGTGCACCTTCCTCCTCCTGGGTTSGTGCAGACACCAATAGGATCGATAGGCGCACAGCCGAGGCAGACGCAGACAGAAATTGATCAGACCAATTCCTCGGCCGCTGGGGGCACGTGACGCGGCCGCAGCCCACTGGCTCCGGCGCCGCGCAGGGGACGGACTGCGGCGCGCTGCGGCAGGCGCGGGCGGCGTGGCGGGCGCGGGGCTCGGAGGCGCTGGGCTGGCGGGGCCCGCCCGCGGCGGCGTCACGAGGGGCGGGGCGGAGGCGCGCCGGGAAGTGGCGCCCGCTGGAGTTGCAGCCGGGTGAGAAACCCACGGACCGGGAGGTGGGAGGCGCCCTCGGCCGCGCGCCCTTCCCGTCAGCCCAGCTGAGCGAGAGGAGGTGCGCCCTGCCCTCTCGGGGTGGCCCGAGCAGCTCCACCAGAGAAGCACTCGGCGCCCTGGAAAACACTTGGAGAAGCGGAGGACCTAAGGAGAGGACTTGAGGGGAGGGCGTGGCGGACTCAGGGTCCCCTGCAAGGTTGCAGATCCGGCGGACACCCAGTGGCTTCGGAACAGGACTGGGGACACGGAGGAAGCCGGCTAGGAGTGGTAAGATTGCCCCGCGGTTCTGACTCCCACCGCCGGACCGACGGCTGCGCCATGTCCAGAGGCCCAGGCTCTACCATCCTACCGCCAGCCTTGGGGTTCCGGAAGCCTGCTCCCCGGAGCCTCAGCTGCCTGTCGGACCTGGACAGGGGCGCAGCCCCGGAGCCGAGGCCCTGTAGACCCCCGGAGAGCCCGGGCCGCGCGCCGCTGGCCCCCGCCCCCACGGGCTGCGACCCCCAGCTGCGGCCCATCATCCTGAGGCGAGCGCGCTCACTGCCCAGCTCCCCAGAGCGCCGCCCGAAGGCCTCGGGTGCGCCAGGCGCTGCGTGTCGTCCAGGCTGCAGCCGGCAGCTCCGCGTGCGCTTCGCAGATGCTCTGGGCCTGGAGCTGGCCCAGGTCAAGGTGTTTAATGCGGGAGATGACCCGTCAGTGCCGCTGCACGTGCTGTCACGACTAGCCATCAACTCGGACYTGTGCTGCAGCAGCCAGGACCTGGAGTTCACTCTGCGGTGCTTGGTGCCAGATTTCCCACCGCCTGTCGAGGCCGCTGACTTCGGCGAGCGTCTGCAGCGCCAGCTTGTGTGCCTGGAGCGGGTCACCTGCTCGGATCTGGGCATCAGTGGTACGGTGCGCGTGCGCAACGTGGCCTTCGAGAAGCAAGTGGCTGTGCGCTACACCTTCTCCAGCTGGCGCAATGCGCACGAAGCGGTGGCGCGGTGGCGCGGGCCRGCGGGCTCTGAAGGCACGGAGGACGTCTTTGCCTTCGGTTTCCCGGTGCCACCCTTCCTGCTAGAGCTTGGATCGCGTGTGCACTTCGCCCTTCGCTACCGAGTGGCCGGTGCTGAGTACTGGGACAACAACGACAGCCGTGACTACAGCCTCACATGTCGCAACCACGCTCTGCACATGCCACGTGGGGAGTGTGAAGAGAGCTGGATCCACTTCATCTGAGCAGCGGTCAGGGTACCTGGAGCTCTGAGGTGCTGGTCTGCAGGTCTTTCCTGACTGGGTGGCCACTTCTTGTTTTTAGGTTCACCTACCCTTCCGCACCCCCAAGTTCTGAACTCGTTTCCTTTGCAAGGTCTCTTGACAGTGGCCCTTCCTGCCTTCTACATGAAATTTCCGTGTCACCTTGTCTAATGAGTAGCCTCACGTAGCCAGCAGGCCAACTCGGTTGTGGAGTGTGTTTGGGGAGGGTCCTGGGAGGGTAGGTGCCTGGGAGTGTGTGCTCTCTGGAGAGGACCCAGGCCCGGTTTTGGGGAAAGACCCACCTGCTGCTAGGAAGGCCTTTTGCATGTGTCTGGAATGTGTCCCTGAACTAGCTGATATTCGTTATTGTGATGTTGGGACCTTAGGCCCATAGCTGATACCTTCTCAGGAATATTCTGAATTTAATAAGCTTAAAGTCCTGTTGTGTGTTTGTGCCCATTGTAAACAAAATGTGCAGTGTGACCTGCATTATGGTCCCTGGAGGCATTCCTGCCCTGGGACAAGGAAAATCTGAGACCTCATTTGCTTGCCAATGCCTGTAGCCTTCTAGCAGTGGCAACTATTAATAGGCAGAGACCTCTGCCTCACTAGCCATCACACAGCCTTTCTGGGCTTTGCGGCAGTCTCTCTCCCATACCAATAGCCGAGGAGAAAGTCGAGGCTGCCACAGGCAACAGCCTTTCCTCTGCCTGCCCTCCTCTCCCATCCTGCTCTTCTCTTGTTCTTGTTTGGTAATTGTGTGTCTGCACATTATCTCTTGGGCCATCCTGTTTGGGTTTGAAACTACCTAAACATTTTAAGAAATCTTGCCTTAAGTTATTTCAATTTTCAGGTGACTATAGAATTTCAAGCAACATGCCCTTTGTAATTACTTTTTTGACAATGAAGGTGACTTTAATATCCTTTTAAGCATCAGAAAATTCCAGGATTTGTCTTTTCCAAGTCCAGTTACCAAGTGGAACTAGATGTTTTCAGCATTAGCTAGAGCCCTTGAGGAAAAATAATTCACAAATTTTATACTTCTGAGTTATTTTAAATTGTACTTATGTCAAGTTTTTATCAGCTACCTGCAACTTTATTCTTTGTGCCTTCAGATAGGAGAAATTTTCAACATTTTCTGGACTTGTTTCCCAGTTTTTAAATGTTAAATGCTTTAAAAACAAAAAACAAAAAACAAAACACCTCCAACCAAGTAGCCAACCCCACTGCTCCAGTGTTATCTGCTACTCCCATGGAGAGGCTGAAGAGTTCTTTTGGTGCTGAGTGGTGGTCTTTCAGACAGCAGGTGCTAGAATTGATGCATGAAAACCCAGCTGAGATGGACAGGACCTCCAATATGGGACCCATATGATACAGCTGAAGCCAGTGTGGTTGATTTTGTGATGGCTGTCACCAGGAGTAATGCTTAAATTTTTGAATACCTGTTGACACTTGTCTAATCAGTATTGAAAAGATGCATTTTGCCTTTTAACTAGTTTGTTTTTGATAATTGCAACTTTGTGTTTTTAAAGTTCCAAGAACAATGACTTTCTTTAGTAACTTTTGATCTAAGAACACCAAATCTTGATTTAAAATCTTGTGATTAAATTGCACACTCTTTGCCTGTTGGGGCTGTGAACTACATTGGCATGCAAGACAGGGAAGCCCTGGTGCATCTCCTGCTGCTTAACAAACCATCCAATTAGGTCAGCAAGTGTGGGAGGGCCTTGGCTGCTCTGCCTATGGCCCCAGCCCAGAGTGCAAGACAATTGTCCCTACTATTCAGGTACAAGTGAGAGCTGCCAAATGGGTTGTCTAAAGGCATGTAAAGTATCTTTCATCTAAGTGAAAGTCACTTGCCAGAAGGATTCTGGTCATAAAATAGTTATATCATCAAAATTAAGAGAACCTCAAGGTGCCTTTTAAAATAACATTTTGAAACTTTAAAGCTTCAATAGACAGCTCAAGAGTTTTCAGACCTTAGTCAAAGCTATATTGCTTAGATGTTAAAAGCTTGTAGTGGATCGTGCAATTGCTGGGTTGTCTCCCCAAATATATTATAATGTAATGCAATGAAAATGATTTTACTGAAGTATTAAAGTATTATGTGCAAAAATGTCTGTGTGCTCTATTTAAGTGGAATTTTTTTGTGGTCTAATCACAGAAAACAAAGGTTTAGAAACTTAATTGTTTAAATCATTTCATGTGTAAGTTTTATCCTTTTCCCAGCACTGATAAATGTAGGGTCTTAGTTTAAAAAAAATGTTGCACCTCACCTTCAGCAGCAGAGTTGTATATGATTTTGAAAAACAAAGTTTATGCCAGGTTAACATAACATATGAAGAAAGCTCTAAGGAACCTGGGGAGTGCTAATTATTCTGCTTACAGCACTTACCCCTGTGCGTGGAATTGTATGAGTCTGCCCTTCCACCAGTGTGTGATCCCGTTAAATACAAAGCCTTGCCCTTGTTGGAAATGAAACATTTATTTTGTCCTTTTTTAACTGTTTAGGCAAAGTGATAGGTGCTTTATTTGATTTCAGTTAATTCTGCAAAATATGTTACCTGGTTGATAATATATATGCCCATTCTGTTAGCTGAGGTGACCAATTTCAAAGAGGTTTAAGTAATTCACCTAATATCCCACAGCTGGTAAGTAGTCAATTCAGCCTTCAAACTTACAACAAGCTCCTTGTTCTTTTGGCCATTGTGATATGGCATCCAGGATGTTTCCAATAAGTGCTTGTTAAATTTAATTAAAAGGGGCTGTGGAGGTAGCTCAGCAGTTGGTTATTTACCTAGCATACASAGGCCCTGGGTTCAACCTTCTGCAGTGCAGGGAAAAAATGCTGTTATAATTTGGATGTGAGGTGCCACCTGAAAGCTCCTGTGTTAATGCAGGAAGTGGAACAACTAGATTATGAGAAATGTAATCTCATCAGTTGATTGATCCATTTGCTGGATTAATAACTCAAAAGAACTGGTAACTAGGCAGGTGGGGCATGCCTGGAAGAGGTGGGTCACTGGAGAGGGCCCTTGGGATTATGTCTCCTCCTCCTCCTGGTCCCTCCCACTCCGCTCCTGGCCACCACAGGTGAGCAGCTTTCCTTTGTCTTGCCTTTCTGCCCTGGTGTTCTGCCTCCACTCAGGCCCAAAGTGATGGAGTCTGCCCACCATGAAGTGAACCTTGGAAAAGGTAAGTAAAAATAAACTTTTCTAAATTGAACTTAGGTATTTTGATCACAGCAAGGAAAAGCTAACACGGAAGCCAAATTTTGATAAGGTTTTCMTTCAAACACCATAATCTAAAACAGTTAAAAAAAATACAAATAAGATTTTTCTTCCACATTGTACTTTATTGATATTTACTAAAAAGGGAAGATGAAAATCACWACTCTTCATTTTTACATTGTATTAGTAAAATTCCTGTGCATTCACTATTCCATCATGAAGGATGTTAAATCTATTAGGGGAAAATTAGATGTGAAGATTATTATGAAATTCTGTCAGGTCAGGAGGTTGAGGCACTCCGAGTTTACATTATGCATCATATGTATATGTTATTAACACTAAATTGTGTAAAGAATTCAAAAACATTGAGAACTTTGATTTTATAGAACATCTCCAAATCCCTCTAGATTACCTATGTATTTGGTACACTGAATTTACAGGTTAAGATCTCAAAATTAGTTCAACAGTAGCATTTACAAAATTGTCAGGCAGTTTGTAATTCTACCTAAACAAAATATTTAAAATGCTTGGTGGRCCTGGTGGTTCATTCCTGTAATCCCAGCCACTTGGGAGACTGAGGCAGGAGGATCACAACCTCGAGGCCCTAAGCAGTTTGCACCCTTCCTCAAAATTCAAGAACAAAAACTAAAAGGGCCTGTGGATGTAGCTTAGTGCTAAAGCATGCCCCTGGGTTTAATCCCCAGTATCAAACAAAAAAGGCTACAAAATATTTAAAATGCTTTATAATTTATATTATCCTATGTGATTTGATCTGCTTTGGTCCTCAGTTTTTATTCCCTTGCGTTTACTTTTTCAAGTGCTTTCCACTGTATGTTTAAATCTTAATTTTATACATA